AGGAACCTCTCCTGCTCCGTCTCCTGCCTCCATCCTTCCAACTCCCCCTCTTTCTCCTCTGCTTGCCTTGTTTATTCCCATCACAGCAGTTCTGTTGTTTATCTTGTTCCTGGTTCTGATTGGAGTCGTGGTCCTCTGCAGGAAACAAACAGGTAACAGAAAGGTTCTTACATTTGTCCTAATGCAACAAGCTAACATTAGCATAAGCTAATAGGAAAATGTCTTGGTTTTCTGGGTGCAAATTTTACAAGTGACAGTTAAAATTAAACATTAGACTGGAAGAGTCTTTTTGGGGATTTGGAATCAGACTTGGCCTGCAGGACCTAGTGACTCGTCTCAGAATCAACTTGGACTACTTCTATGGGACTTGGACATGCCTTAAAGCAGCATCAGAGCCAGAAATCTAAAAAGGCTTAACAACCTGATAAAAAAAAGCTGGTTCTGTTCTGGAGACGACTGTGGAACCATTGGAGATGATGGTACAAAAACAGATTCTTCATTAAGTTAAAGCAAGGATGGACAGCCCTGAGCATCCTCTTCATGACACTGTCATGCAACAATAGAGCATCTTCAGTCAGAGGCTTCTTCAGACCTGCTGTAACCACACAGACCACTGCAGGAGATCCTTCCTACCCACAACCATCAGCAGAGATGCTCCAGTGTCTCTAAGTTGTGTAGAAGATGGACAGACTGCCAATGGACGGACAGTGAAGACGATCAACGAGGCACAAACTGTTGGCTTTGGAGCATCTGGTCCTCACTCTGGAAGGGTTCATGGTTCCTCCTGTGTTCTGGACCTCTTTACACCCATCTCTACATCTTACTGGTGTGAGACCAGTTCAGGACCAATTCCTCCACAACCCCTCTTTGATGATTATCAACTCATTAGAGATCCTTATTGTTACTGTTATTATTTAGGTTTTATTATTGCTTTAAGGCAGTGGTTCCCAACCTTTTTCCCAAGGGACTCCGTTTTTTTTACCAGTAAAATTTTTGACGACCCCCTCCCATTCTCTCTTCCAGTACAAACATTATTAAGAAATATAAAATTGTTCAAGCACATTTTAATATGCTTTGATTCAATAGATAACAGTAATAGTAGGCTCCAGTACAGAACAAAGTCATTAACAAAACCAAACAGAGCGTAATGTGCTTGACAGTTTGTATTACTTTTCTGAACACATTGTTTCTTGTAAACACCGATAAATCAATCATTCCTTCCAATAAACATTAAAAAATACACTGAGCAAAATGTACTTAAATGTGTATATTACTGTTTATACTAGATTATTTACTGTAAACGCTGTGATTAATCAACCAGTCCTATCTTTAATGAACTTTTGACACTTGAAAATAAAACAGTGAGCTGAGCAAAATGTTCTTAAAAGTGTGTTACTTTTCTGTACTAATTATTTCCTGTCTTAATATCAGTAAACTTTTCACTCATGAAAAAAAAATGTGAGCAAAATGTGGGCTATAAACAAGTAATAAATGAAGTTTTAACCCCTTAAAGTGGAGAGGTCCTGGCGACCCACTGAGAGGCTTTGGCGCCCCCTTGTGGGGGTCGGGACCCCCAGGTTAGGAACCACTGCTTTAAGGAATGAGTTACAACATTTTCAGCTCGGAGGCCCCCTAGTGGCTGGTGGGGATCTGTGTGTTTGTATTCGTAAGTGTACGTAACCCATATTTCACTAAAGAAGCATCAGCAGCGCAGAACGGCAGCAGAACGCCATTGCTTCAAATAAAATCCGTTATAGTTTATGGAATGTTTCAAACCAGACGCGACATGGCAATTTTCAGGTGCACGGCTTAAAGGGACGAGTTCTTTTTTTGCTGTGAGCCGCTTCTGGGACATGTCAATTTCTGCAGTTAACATAGGGCAAGACAGGAAATTACACACAGTTTCAGTGTAAAATTCTCGGTAATTTTCAAAATACAAGTACTGCAGCGAAGCGATTTCATGTATTTGTAGCTTACGTGCTTACGTGTGTGTTTTTATGGCTTTAATCCTGACAGTGGGGAGGAACAACATCATATACGACATCAAACGTGATTTTCTTTTTGGTTAAATGGCGGCTGGCATAAACAAACCGTGACCTTTGAAGTCTCGACGGATTGCGTGATCTCGCGAGGACTCTCCCAGCATGTCATGGGCCGCATTGAAGCTCGCGAGTAAAACGTTCCATTTCCGTTCTGCGCCGCCGATGCCTCTGGTGTGAAATAAGGGTCAGAGGCTTAAGGCCACTTAAAAGAAAAAAAGAAGAAGAAAAAAAATTCTGACTTTTTTCTCAGATTTCTATTTTCTTTTTCAGTGGCCCTAATCCTTTTTGTAGAGGTGATAACATAAAAGTGCATTAATTAAAATACTATCATTTTAATCTTGCTTTGGGTCTGCTTGTGTCGTGCCAGATTGAAATTGAGGAAGTGAAGGATTAGTACACCTAAGTGACAGCGATATGAGTCATTGTCATAGAAGAGTACGATTTCTGATCTCCTTATGCAAAATATGAAACTTTCTAAGTGATCAAATTCTGCAAACGTCCACACCAACGCAACGGTAGTTTCAGTGAACATCCAGGTATGATTTTGATCAGGACCGCCCGTCTCCCAGCCTAAAGTAAGGCTCCAGGGCCGACCACCCTTATAAATGATTGTCTTTCTGCTGCTTCTCTTTTCTATTCAGGGAGGACCAACTCAGCTCCTGCAGAAGTGACCTATGCTGACATCACCATCAGACAGAGAGACAAAAGGAGAGGTAGGCGTTTTATTTATCAGGTCCATGTGTTTTACTCCTCTGTTTGGTCTCCCTACAACCCTGTCTAGGAGTCGTGGGTTGCAACACGAAGGGAGACCAAACAGAGGAGAGGGGAATCAAACAAATTAATCTAATTGACAGAAACTAATAAAACCACTGAAGCAATCTTAAAGGGCAACACACAAAAGGCCAGGGAGGACTCTCCACCACACAGGAGTCTCTGGCAAACAGCAACCAGCAGGCTTTATCGGCAGCCCCGCACCCTGAGCCCAGGCGCCTCCAAGGCCGCCTAACGAGCTGCCTGCAACTGAAAAGAACATAAACACAAAACAAACAAAGACCCAATGGGATGGTGGTGTCGTCACATTAGCATGTTCATGATGCGCCTTCAGCATAATCAGACGCAAGTGACCCGGGCTTTCTGACGAACGTGTAAGTGGTGCATAACGTTGTTGTTATGCCGCTTTTTTGACAAAGCCCACAGATCATCTTGCCCTACTTTTGGGTCAGGCAAAGATCGTGGGTGCCACTGGTGTCCCCCCCTGCACCTTCAGGATAATCTCTTTCAGGATGTTGTTGGCCCTAATCTCTGGTCTTTGCTAGAGCAAAGAGAGAGGCAACGATCCTCTCTGCAGCTCTAAAGTCTCTAAGTCATGACTGACACTAATGTAGCATGGTTTTGTTTTCCAGAAACACCTGCTGCTGGTCCAGAAACGATCCTCCCAGCTGGGCTGTCTCACTGTTCAGGTACAGAACAACAGTTTCTGATGAACAGAACAAAAAAAGCTTTCAGCCTGAATCTAGAAATCTTCCTCAAAAAGAAAAGAACCTATTGCGTCAGCATCTAAATATTCCTGTAGGTAACAGCGCCTGACTCGGCCACTTGCATACAGCACCACTTCCTCACACTGAGCTACTTTTGTCGTTACCAAAAAGCACAAAACCTTCTGAGAAGGCTCTTAGCTACAGAGCCCCTGGCTCAGGCTGACCCCGTATGAACCCCGCCTTTTACCCACCAGACTGAGTGGGTTAGTGAGAAAACTGGTAAAGTGACAGTGTGTAGTTTCCTGGTACTAGGGAGCAGTGCATACGTACATTTCAGGGTAGTTTTACACCACATCTTCCCGACTGTCGCTAGTTTACAAACCCATCAGGGTAAAAGCAGGAAGCATGCGACCTCGGCGTGGCACCTCAGACTTTGATGGCCCTTCAGTTAATTCCATCGAGAGAACGCAATGCTGATTGAAGTTTTCTGGCGCTGCAGTTTCTGGATCTGTTTGGGGTCCTGCGCCTGCCGATGATGTCACACTATGGCAATACCGCTCATCCAAAATACATAGCTTCTCTTTTTTGATTCCTTCGCGTGTTTTGGAAAGAGTTTAGCAGTTTCGTTATTAAATGTGTGTTTCTTACTACCCAAAAAGTTTTGAATGTGGTAACGTCAAATATCCAGCCAATCATCGTGTAAGACCTGACTCGAGCTGAGCGGGACCGGAGCGAGAGTTTGGATTGTTGCGTGTATTTTTGACCCAAGCGCGGAGTGACTGACGCCGGGCAGATAGACACGCGTTTGCTCTAGGAGTCAAACCGTACAAGGCTAGTGAGCACGGCGGCTCCAAAAGGAAACAAGGTGACTTACTATGAGTCAGCAGGGTGAGTGGCTTGGGCTGGTCAGAACAGGTTTGAGTAATCCGATAGGATTGGGTAGGAACTCGGAACATAGTCTGGTTAGGAACAATGACTGAGTGGTTTGGTGTTGCGCTGCACTTCCTTATGTAGATGTGGCGGGTGACGTGAGCCGGAAGGCTGGCGCTGGGAATGCTGGGTAGTGGAGTCTGACTGGGCTGAGTGAGTGTGGGTTCCTCCAGGGGAGGATGTCGAGGGCTGAGAAGGAGGCAGCGTGACACATCTAGTGTGACATCATCGACAGGTGCATGACCTCGAGCCGGCGAGGAGGAAACATGGCGTCTAAGGCCCAATCCCAATCCTTGCACTGCACCCTGCTGCTTCAGCAAAGTGCACTTGGAGGAAGTGTGCAGTAAGGCTTTGAGTGTGTAGTACACAGGTGTGCAAATAGTTGCTGAATTGGAAGAGGGAGCACCGACCGAAACTGATGCTGGGATGCTGGTCGCTGTGCTACTTATATATATATATATATAAAACTTTATTAACAACTTTCAAACAAACAACTAATCAAATATTTGAAATAAATTCACATTGATTGCTGTTTTTTTTTAAACTTTGAAAGCATCAACTGGATATTTCCAGAGATTAAAGGTAAAAACTACAGATAGTCACTCTGAATGTTACTCTGTGTCTTCAGATCCTCCTGATTACGCCTATGTTCACGTCAGCATCGACGAGCAGACGGAGGCTAACAGGAAAACTGGTAAACACGACAGCAACTGTCTGCATTCTCACACATAACCGATAACTCATGGTGCATCCTAGTACGATCAGAAAGAGCTGATGGATATGTTTGATATTTCAAGATGGCTGACGTTTCATTTGATGCTTCCTTTGACTGTTGGAATGTGAATTATGATATAAACACCAGATAGTGAGGTTTAATGGTCAACTGGTCATTAAACAGAGGAATGAGCCGGTGGAGAAAGGACAGTCAGGTCCTCTCATGGTGCAGCTGCTAGCTCCACAACTAGCAGCTGCACCATGAGAGGAATTTCCTCCCTCAGCTGTCTGATTCTTCTGCTTCAGAATAAACCTGGATGTTCATGTTTCAGGAGGACAGAAAGATGATGGTGAGAGTCAGACCAACAGGAGTGACCAGACCTCTGGAACCAGTGATGGTTAACATTCACGTCTCCCAGCAGCTCGTCTATGACTGGTGCTTCTCTAAAGCTGGGACTTAATCAGACTGTCTAAATGAACGTCTCCAACACGCTCCTCACTAGAGATTTCACTTACTTTCATGTGTCTTCATCTCTTCTGCAGGAAGTCATGCACCCATGATGTTTCAGCCAGATCATTAGGACCACCTAATGATAATTTACTGCTGATATATCTGGTTATTCTCTTCTAAAAAAAACTTGTTAACGATTAAAAAACAACCCTAAACCTTTTATAGTTGCTTTTTATTTATGTAGAATTTTAAATAAACTTTGTTTTCTGACTTACTTTTGTCTGATTACCTTTTCTGTTGATCTTTTGAAGTTTTCCTATTATGATGATCATGAGTAACAATCAGAACTATGCAGCGACGTGCGGTGAGGTTCATGCCTGGGGAGGCACTGACTGCTCTGGAGTCGGACTTACAAACACATCATCCTGAAATGGAAGCTTGTATTTTATTTTTGAACTTGAATAAAACATTCTTTTTGCTTGAACGTTTCTTAGTTATGATTTAATCAATTTCATACTATTCAGGTAAAAATAGTATTTCATATTAGAGCAAATTTCACCAAAAATGCATTCATTGTTCCTGGCATAGCTCATTTATTATACCTGAAAATCATGTACGATCTTTTATGTGGTTTTAAAGTCCATACACCTGACATCTTCATGATCACTCTTGCAGTAAAAATCCTCTATAATCTCTTGATCTGACTGAAAATGTAGTTTGAGAAAATCCTTCAGATTTGAGCCATAAATCTGACATTTAGTGAAAGCAAATTCAAGCTATTTCACCCCTACAGATCTGCCGTCTCTGGACCTGCAGCATGTTTGCACCGGTGTCTATGGTGCTCAGCACTGCCCCTGTCAGTGAGGCAGCCCCCCCGTGCGTTTTCACTGCGTGTTAATGGCCGCTTAGAAGACTAAATGTGCCACAGTCATTAAACGTATATTAGACAGACTGTAGGACATCATCATATGCAGCACATGGTGAAATAAAACATGTATTTTGATGATTTGACAGACAGCAGTGAGCATGCACCAACTTCCTGTTTCAGTGAGTGTGTGTGGGGCAGCACAGAGAGAGCGGAAGCAGGCTTGTTTCCGCCTCCCCTCTCGCTTCTGCATGTATATTTGATCAGGAAACGGGTCAAATCAGCAATTTTGGCAATAAACACGATGGACTCATACAGAAAAAATGTACAGGTGGGCCATTTATATGGATACACCTTAATAAACTGGGAATGGTTGGTGGTATTAACGTCGTGTTTGTTGCACATTAGTTAATGTGAGGGGGAAAACTTTTCAAGATGGGCGGCCATTTTGAAGTCGGCCATCTTTGATCCAACTTTTGTTTTTTCCAACAGGAAGAGGGTCATGTGACCCATTAAACTTATTGAAAATTTCACTAGAAAGACAAGGGTGTGCTTGGTTTTAATGCAACCCTTCAACCAAACCCTGAGTGTCAAACAGGGAGGTATCGGGTCCTGTTTTTAAAGTCTTAGGTATGATCTGAGTGGGATTTTTACCCCAATCTTCCAGTCCCAAGGTGGACACTCTACAGCTAGACTACTGAGAAGAAAACATGGAAGGAATAAGTCAAAGAAGCTAGAAGCTAGGCTCAGGCCAGAAGTGTGAGCACTGAGCAGCAACATGATTAAGCTGAGCAGAGAGACAGCAGTGAGGCGTGCTGTGGGAGTGACAGAGATCAGGGTGGAAGTGGAATTTCATCAAAGATCAGTTTGCTTTGGTGATGAACAGGTGTCAGACAAGAGTCTCCATGGACCATGATGTTTGCAGATGACCTGCAGTGAGAGCAGAGTTCAGGTAGAGGAATAACTAGAAGTGGAGATGTGTACTGGAAAAGAGGGGAATGAAGATTATCTATGGCAAGACAGAAAACGTGTGTAACTGAGAGGAACACCAGAGAAACACATTCAGACGTAGAAGAATGCTGAGATTGGAGCCACCAAGCAGGAGACTGAGAGGAGATCCATGGATGTGGTGAAAGAAAACATGGAGTTAGTTGATGTGAGGGTGGAGGATGCAGAAGATAAGACTAGATAGCGAGAGATGGTTCACAGTGGAGACTCCTCAAGGGACGAAGAGAAAGATGACCGATTTTGAAAGAAAACGTGAACAAACTGAAGTGAAAGTATCACTTTATTATTGTCCATACCAGGCAATTACAAAACACACGACCTTTGTGAAGTAAAAAAAACACATTTACTTACAAGTTAACTAACAAGTCCCGTTAGAAACAAAGTAGTCAGAATAAAAAGTCACATTTAACTCTGGGTAAAAGGTCAGAGAGTTAGTAGTTAATCATTCCTAAGTTCTGAACTTTTCTCCTCCGGCTCACTTGGGTTTCCTGAAACAGGAGCGCCAGAGCTTTCCTCCCCAGAGAACCACTGGCAGGTCTTCATCTATACTCTAGTCCAGGGGTGTCAAACATGCGGCCCGCGGGCCGGATCAGGCCCGCACACAGTTTAAATCCGGCCCGCGAGATGATTGTGTAAACCTTATTTTCAGACTTTACAATGTACAGTCTGAAAATAAGCTTTCATTTTTCTATTAAACTGCTGGTGAAAGCTAAAAGATGTCAGGTATCAGGAGTCAAAGACATGCATGAAACAGATATAGCCATGTGATCTGGGAATCAGTTATTTGACTTACTGAGGAATAGTCTGAGTTTTTTGTTTTGTATTTCATGTTTTCAAATACACTTCAGGTGTTTTATTATTAATAGTGATGTTGTGCTTAAACTATTTTGGACACACTGTCATCAGGCTCCAGCTTTGTTTTATGTTGATCGTACTAAAACAAAGAAAACAATCTGAAGCTGTTTTTAATTTATGCATGCTTTAATTTTACTGGCCTGGCCCACTTGGGACTAGATTTGCCTCAACGTGGCCCCTGAGCAAAACTGAGTTTGACACCCCTGCTCTAGTCCACATCTAATGAGTTGAAAAAAGAGAGAGCTTGGTCTTTTAGAAAGTAACATGAATACAGAAACAAAGAAAAAGATAAACAACAAAAAATACTTAACAACTTGTTCTTATTTTAATGCCTTGCTGGCGTTTTGGGTCAGGACTTAGAATAAAATCTTTAAGAATGAATCGCACTGTGGAGCAAAGAATTTTGACAGGAATGTCCCCGTTTGTAACTGCTGTTTTAGTTTCTACTGTAAAAAAGACACATTAGAGTCTAAATAAAAGCTGTAACAAACACGCAGAATCAAATCTACTTTATTGTCATTGCCTCGGCGTCCTGAAGCGTAGAAACTTGTCTCCGCAGCACAGTCACCCTTTGCACTGATGACTGCTTCGTAGGGTCGTCACGGCGTGAAAACTTCACCTCACGGTCATTGTGACCAAAATGATCACGGTTTTCGGTATTACTGCCGTAGTTTTTTTAAACGTGTAACATTTTCAGACTACTAAACAAACAACCAGTTAAATAACCAGGAAAATAATGTCCTCAGTTTGTGTCTAATTTTTGACTGAAGTTTATTTTGTAATTATGTTGTTTATTTGTTCATATTTTTCCCCTTTAGTCTTTAAAATACCAAAAATGTGCCCATAACTTTGTTTGTTTGATGTCATCATTTTAAAAATATGAGATCAGATGATACTCAGTACTCAAGTAGCCTTCTATTCAAATACTTCTCTACCACTGGGTAACTGCTTGGACTCTTACTTGAGTGTAGTTGGTTGCTGCTCGACCCAGCACGGCCAAACCGTTTCCCTCAGTGGGACAAAATAAAAATCTATATCTCCCACTCCTATTTATTATTTCATGATGTGTTGATGGTCGTTTCGAGGGTATTACACGTGCTAATTATAGCGGCAGAAACGTGTTATATTTTCGGACAACTAAATAAACCCTCCATATCAGGATAGTTGTTCTCGGTTTATGTCTTTCCAGTGAGATTTGCTGATTTGGGCAAATGTCATCAGGCATTAATTGTTAAATTCATAATGATGCAGCAAGTCTATTTATTGCATTGGCGACCAGCTTTCATCTGCCTCCTGGGAACTCTGTGATGCATAACGTCACTTTAACACGGGGGCGTCCGCGACACCGTTTATATGCTGGCAGTGGGCGCCGCGGCAGCACTATAGGGTGATTGGCTGCATTCTCCCTCAACCCAAAGCTCTCACATCACGTATTTCAGCTAAAACGCTGACGTTAGCTTGCCTTGCATTGACTGTAGAGTTGTGGGTGATGGTCGCACAGATGCCATGACATTGAAGTGTGGCAGCCTTTCGCAGACACTTTTTTCCCGCACATGCTGCTAACAGGATAGCCGTCTTCTATCAACTATCCCTCTGCATTCTTTAAATATCCAAAAAGTGCCCGTACTTCTGACTTTGTCTTCTTCGAGGGCTGATCGATGTCCTGAGCGCTGCCGTCTCCTCCTTTGGCCGTCATTTCAGCGTTAACTTAAAGACAGTTTTGGTTGTAAACTACAAAGTGTGCATGTGCAGCAACTTCAGCAGGTGATACGGTGGCTGGTAAGGGTCACCGCACTTTTGGAGAAAAACTGTAATTATTATTGTCAACATTTTAACCGGGGTTTACCGCTACATCGGTTACCGTGACAACCATACTGCTTTGCACAGTAGGGTTTACTAGGGTTTAGCTACACCGGTTACCGTGACAACCATACTGCTTTGCACAGTAGGGTTTACTAGGGTTTAGCTACACCGGTTACCGTGACAACCATACTGCTTTGCACAGTAGGGTTTACTAGGGTTTACAGCTACATCGGTTACCGTGACAACCCTACTGCTTTGCACAGTAGGGTTTACTAGGGTTTACAGCTACATCGGTTACCGTGACAACCATACTGCTTTGCACAGTAGGGTTTACTAGGGTTTAGCTACATCGGTTACCGTGACAACCCTACTGCTTTGCACAGTAGGGTTTACTAGGGTTTACAGCTACATCGGTTACCGTGACAACCCTACTGCTTTGCACAGTAGGGTTTACTAGGGTTTAGCTACATCGGTTACCGTGACAACCATACTGCTTTGCACAGTAGGGTTTACTAGGGTTTAGCTACATCGGTTACCGTGACAACCATACTGCTTTGCACAGTAGGGTTTACTAGGGTTTACAGCTACATCGGTTACCGTGACAACCCTACTGCTTTGCACAGTAGGGTTTACTAGGGTTTACCGCTACACCGGTTACCGTGACAACCCTACTGCTTTGCACAGTAGGGTTTACTATGGTTTACCGCTACATCGGTTAACGTGACAACCCTACTGCTTTGCACAGTAGGGTTTACTAGGGTTTACCGCTACACCGGTTACCGTGACAACTCTACTGCTTTGCACAGTAGGGTTTACTAGGGTTTACCGCTACATCGGTTACCGTGACAACTCTACTGCTTTGCACAGTAGGGTTTACTAGGGTTTACCGCTACACCGGTTACCGTGACAACCCTACTGCTTTGCACAGTAGGGTTTACTAGGGTTTACCGCTACACCGGTTACCGTGACAACCATACTGCTTTGCACAGTAGGGTTTACTAGGGTTTACAGCTACACCGGTTACCGTGACAACCATACTGCTTTGCACACTCTTGGCATTCTCTTGATGAGCTCCCAGAATTCACCTGAAATGGTTTTCCACCAGTCTTGGGAGTTCCAGAGGTGTTTAGCACTTGTTGGCAACAAGAGTGTGTAATCAGCAGTAATCAGAGCAAAGGGTGGCTATTTTGAAGACAATAGAAAATAAAACGCGTTTTCAGTTATTCCACCTTTTTGGGTTAAGTACACAACTCCTCATGTGTTCATAGATTTGATGCCATCAGTGAGAATCTAATAATGTAAAGGTCCCGGAAATAAAGACAACACATTTAATGAGAAGGTGTGCCCAAACGTTTGGCCTGTACTGTATACCAGATAACTGCCCACGCCAAAAAGCAGAAATCTGGAAATCCATCCATCCATCTTGGGTATCTGGACTGGGGGTATCTGGGAAAGGCATTTTACATTCCACTTCTTCCAGGAGTCCAAAATATGCCTGACAAGGTGCATTCTATCCAGACAAGAAGGAGCCCACTTCGCCGATCTTAATGTTGAAAACTATCTCGTCAATCTTGTTGAAAGACCAGCTGAGCAGATGCATATTTTTAATAATTTCCAGATTTCAGCAGCAATCCAGAGAAGACAAAGAGCCTTGGGAAGACAAGGCAGGAGAAAAATACAGCGACCTCACCCTCCAAGAGGTGGAAGAGAAAGCTGATCAGAGATCAGATTTAAGGCCTCAACTGATCCAAGATCTGCTCAAACAACTGAGCATCATTAAAATGAACTAAACCACCATCTCCATGACAACAGGCATCAGCATCACAGTCAGATGAAGACGGACTCAGTCACTTCTTTTAGGGATTAATCATAGAAATCGAATCGTATGTCCTCAGGCTGACCAACAGAGATGTCAGACTGACTCAGAACCGATGTTTTGCATCAGTGATGTTTTCACCTCCTCTTCTCTGTTAGGTCCACCCGCTGTTCCTGAAGAAGAAGAAACACACAGAGTGGGATCAGATCTTATGAAGACGAGAACAAACAACATGGGATTGTTGATTGGTCCTTTGGTTATTTTGAACAGAAGAAACATGTTCATACTTCAGTTTAGAGCAGCTGATTAAATAATCAATTATTTAGGATGATGTGTGTTAATGATCGGAGGGGAGAGTGTTGGGCATCAGAATGGTGCTTGCTTGGTGATATGAAAAAACATCCTATCATGAAACTATTTTTATTAAAAAAAAAATCATTATTTTGTTGTCAACCTTTAAAGGCCCGTGTGTGAAATCCATTGAAACCATGCTGAAAAAATGCGACTCTTTAGCGCCGTGCAGTTCAGAGAAAGTATTGCAGCTACGGTGGCTCACTCATGAATTTGACTGTATAATCAGTTTCCAACCTGTGTAGCCTAGCCCTCTTTAAAAAAGCATTTATGATCATGACTGTTTTATCAACCTACCGGTTCTGAAGGAAGCAAGCTAGTTCTGTTCTTGAAGCAGTCACGATTCACACACGGAGGAGGGGTGACGTCAGCCGGGAGGTCAGGTGTTGTGAGAAATTGTGTTCCCCTGAAATATTCTGTCCCCCCGTGTCGGGAGATCGCACTTCTGGCTATTTTCACAACATTTGTGATAAACTTTTACGGTGAAATGATGTCATGTAATGGAATAATGTTATGATTGTGATTTTTTAATCTGTATTTCCTCCAAAAAATCAATAAAAAAGAACAGTAAAAACATTCTTGTTCACTCTTTTGCAGCGAGCTTATTTATCATTTTTGAAAGTTATGTAAAAGATATAATCTCACTCAGTTTAACATCTTTTATTTGAGGTTGTTTAGTCCTCATTAGAGCCCTGCACTGAAGCCCCAGGCCCTCGGGTCGGCCCAAAGCCCGGCCCGATGGCCCACGGGCCGGGCTTTGGGCCGACGACTGTGTAATGACCTCGGTCACGGGCCGGGCGCCTTTATTTTTAATCGAATTCATTAAAAAAAACTGAAACACTTGAACGCAGCAGCACCTGCCTGCTTCTCACGCACCGGCACCCGTTAGCTCAGTTAAGGTCTGTGTGGTTTATAAATGCGCCTATATAAACGAATTCTCAAACTGCTGATTGAAACATGTGCCCCTATTCTAATATGCCGCTTTATGTCCACTTTGATATGTCAGAAACTATTCGTTTATTCTCATGAAAACGGCAGCGTTCTATTTTTCTGTGAATAAATTCGCTCTGCAGCTAAAAAAATACAGCATTCATTGCTGGTTTTTTTCTAACTGGAGAGCGCATTTTCAGCGCGGCAGATTAAATTTACAAACGCTTTATTAATTCGAGGGCGTTTATTTAATCTGCAGCTCTGAAAAAGCGCTCTGCAGTTAGAAAATTAGAATGCTGCTTTTATTCCTAATTGCACAAGAGCGCATTTTCAGAGCGGATTAAATTTACAAACGCATCCAATTAATATAGCGTTCGTAAATTTCATCTGCCGCTTGAAAAATACGCTCTGTTAGAAAAAAAAGCTGCATTAAATGCTGTTTTTCTTTCTTTTCTTTTATTTATTATTATTTTTTTTTACTGCAGAACGCTTCTCACAGATAATTAGAATGCTGAGCATTCTATCACGCTAAAACATTATGAAAGGTTAAAAAAAAGTCGGGCCGGGACGGACAAGGGCTCAGATTTTAGGCCCGTGCAGGGCTCTAGTCCTCATAAAGGACAATAAGTTCTGTGGCATTGGAAATATTTGATCTTGACTGACTAAGGGAAACAGAATATTTCATGGGAACATAATTTCCCACAACACCCGTTTCACGTGGATCACGGCGCCTCGATGTAAACAAACTGGCCGCCGCTACCAGCTTACATGGATATGGAGCGATCACTGGCTGATCGTTAGCCACGGCTGGTGAAGGAGTGTTGGTGAGCCGGGTCATGCTGAGATCAAGTAAACAATGTCTGACTTATCCACCAGCTAATCGTGGCTCACGGCTGGCGTGGTGGAGATAGGCGTCACGAGCTACCGAGCTACTAGTTAGCCATGGCTAGAGCGGGGAGACGCTGTGTATGCTGGTGTAAACACCCACGGGTTACCAGAAAAGGAGATCCAAGTCTAAAGGTAACATTTGAGAAGAAGCCCTCTGAGTCGGAGCGTCTCTGTAACGCGTGGAGAACTACATTGCCGTTAGTAAAGTGTTGTGGAGATAAAGTAAACAACACTGATTTAGCCACTGGCTAGCGGACGAGCGTGTTGAGCCAGATGGCAGGCTGCGGGAAGAGAGGAGACTTGAGTAGAAGGACTTTGGAAAGGACACGTCAGGAATGGGTCGGGAGTTCTGGTACTAGGAAAAGACGGATGAACAACTTGAGGTGAGTTTGGGAGACAGAGACACTAATCGGAGGCTGGCGTCCAGATAATAGCGGGCGGGGGTCTGAACATATGCAGCTTCCTTGTGTTGGACATGATGACGGACTGACAAATTTTTTGTCTTTTGATTTAATAGTTTTTTATTCAAACTTACAAGTACAGCAACGGTGTAGCTATTCTGCCCTCTGCTGGTTCTTTCAGGTTACAGTCATAGTCCAAACATCCAACATTGACTCCACCACACATTACATGCCCACTTGACCCCATTCCGACTAAGCTGCTCCAATCTATTGCTCCTACAGTAGCCGCAGCAGTCACACATGTGATCAACGCTTCACTGACATCCGGTACATTTCCCACCTCTCTCAAGCATGCTCGGGTTAAACCGCTGCTAAACAAACCATCTCCTCCTCCAAAGCATGTGGAGAACTACAGACATATCTCTCTCCTCCCTTTTCTGTCCAAAATCATTAAGAGGGTGGCTTTCAAGCAGATCACAGAATACCTCTCACAAAACTGTCTGCTTGACCCTTACCAGTCTGGGTTCAAAAAGAGCCACTCCACTGAAACTGCTCTGTTAGCAGTGGCTGAATCCTTAAAAGAAGCTAGAGCGACTGCCAAATCCTCAGTGCTTATCCTGCTCGACTTATCGGCAGCATTTGACACTGTCAACCATGGCTTCCTTTTGTCCGCACTCTCTAGCATGGGCATCATAGAGAAAGCACATGCCTGGGTTGAATCGTACCTCACAGGACGATCATTCGGTGTATCTTGGCTTGGACAATCCTCTACTGTGCACCATCTTGCCACAGGAGTCCCCCAGGGCTCTGTACTAGGTCCTCTTCTCTTTGCCATATACACCACCTCACTGGGTGAGATTATTCGATCACATGGCTTCTCATACCACTGCTATGCAGACGACACCCAGCTCTATCTGTCATTTCCACCGGACAACCACACTGTCTCTGCACGAATATCAAACTGTCTCTCTGACATGTAAAAATGGATGAAATCCCACCATCTCCAACTCAACCTCTCTGAAACTGAACCACTTGTCATCCCAGCAAAACAATCTATACAGCACAATATCTCAATCCAAAATGACTTCCTATCTCTGGCTCCTTCAAAGGCAGTTCGAAATCTGGTGTTGTGATTGATGAACACCTGACCTTTAAAGGTCATGTTGCCTCTGTTGCTCGTTCATGCCGCTTTGCGCTGTATAACATACGAAAGATCAGACCATACCTAACACAACATGCCACCCAGCTCCTGGTGCGATCTACCGTCATCTCCTGCCTCGATCACTGCAATGCCCTTCTAACTGGTCTTCCAGGCTGTACTGTGAGACCTCTTCAAATGGTCCAGAATGCAGTGGCGCATCTGGTCTTCAATCAGCCAAAAAGAGCACACGTCACCCCTCTGTTCATTGAGCTCCACTGGCTACCGCTAGCAGCACGCATCAAATTCAAATTGCTAACACTAGCATACAAAGTCCGAGATGGTACGGCTCCCATCTACCTGAATCCTCTTGCAAAGGCTTACGTCTCGGCCCGGCTGCTCCGGTCATCACAGGATCGTTGGCTAGCAGTGCCTACACCACGTTCTCAGCTGGCCAGGGAACGCCTGGGATTCCCCTGGAAATGCTGACCCAAGTGGCTGGGGAGAGGAACATCTGGGCCTCTCGACTTAGGCTGTTGCCCCCGCTACCCGACTCTGGATAAGCGGATGTTGGGGTTTTAAAACATGAACGCTAGTTTAACTGGTAACTCTTAACTGACCCTAGGTGTGTGCTTGTGTATGATTTTCCCAGTGGTGTTCTCTGTTCTGTCGTTCCCTTTCTGTGCGCTCCACCTCCTCCCGCCCCTCGCTGGCCTGGTAGGAGTGTTGGTGTGGGGACAACCTCGGAGCCTCTTGTGGCATGGTTCTGATTTGGTTCTGTATCCTTGATAATGGACCACAGAGACTCAGGGAACATTCACACGCAAGCCAGAAGTCAAGTGGAAGATAAAGATGATCTCCCAACTCCACGATAGAATCTAAATAAAAGGTGATCAGACTGTAGAGCTGAGGAAGGATCAGCTGACATCTTTTGTTGCTCCTAGGATCAAAAGTTAAAACTGCTCTCTGATCAGTTATTAAGTCTCACCTGATGGAAACTCTTCAACTGATCCGAGATCTGACCAAACAAGGTAACATTAATGATGATTGAAGTGACTTGATCTCTGTGAGATTTTATAACCTGTTAAAACTCTAAATGACATCAGCCTGATTCTTACCCGGCTGCCGAGGAGCTGGATGAATTTTTTCTGTGAACTGATATAAACGCTCAGTGATGGTGAGATGTTCTAAAAAAGAAACACAAAGAGTGAGACCAGATTTAGCGAAGACAAGAACAAACATCGCGTTTTTCAGTCATGGGGAAACTGTACCAGCTGAGGAAGTGGACGAAGGCCCGAGCGTCCACGGCTTTCGAGCCTTTTTGTTTATTATAAAACAGAAGAAATGTTGATGCTGCCTTGAACAAATGAATGATCTCAGTCTTCTCCACGTAATGAATCCTTTTTGTTAGATGGTTCAGCTAACTGTTCATCAGCTCATACTAAACCTCACATATCTGAGTTCTGTGTCAGACAGGAGAAAAGGGATGGCTGCATTTCTGCATCTTAAGATGGAAGGAAACATGGTTCATAACAAGATTCAGTCCATCAGCAGCTGGGTGTGTTCTGTGGGTCATGTGACTTTTGTTAGGTCAGAACCTCCTGTGGAACCAGCATGGTGGTTCTATCTGCAGTGATGGAAGCAGTTGGAACCACACAGAGCTCAATCATCACAGACATTGGTGAGTTTGTTAGACCTCTTTCCAGGCTGACGTCGCAAACTGCTGCAGAAAACAAATATGGAGGACTCACCTATGACCCAGAGGTGCAATGCTTTCTGTTTGACGAGTTCTTTTTTATCCTTGTAGACGGTGCAGGTGTAAACGCCTTCATCCCTGTAGTCGGGCTTCTTCAGAGTCAGACTGAAGTCTCCCGTCCTCAGCAGGTCTTTAGTCACCTCCACACGACCTTGATAGTCCTGGTGTTGGTCTCCAGGCTGTTCTTGGCCGTTCTCAAACTTCCAGACCAACTTATTGGTCCACATATTTCTCCACTCCACCTCACTGCTGTCAGGAAGCTTTTTGAATTTAAAACGCAGTCTGACAGACTCCACCCCCTTCTCCACTTTTATTTCTCTAGCTGGAACAGACAGATGAAACATAATCTGATCAGACATCCTAGAACCTTCAGCTCTAACAGTTTTAATCAGAAATGGATTCCTATAAAAACTAGCCATGAGTCTGGAAAAGAGAATTAAACAAAGTAGAAAATAGAATTTATTTATTATCGATAAGTGAAAAAAACAAAGACATCTGCAGGCAGGTGAGACGTTTCAGCTGCTGTGGAACAATGTTCTCTTGTTCCAGACCTGCAGGATGATGTGCTGTAATCCACATAGCTTCAGGGGATCATTCTCGCCCACAGCCACCAGCATCTTTAACGACTCGTTAAAGATCATCAACTGAGATCATTAGTATTACTAATATTTATCCTTTTATTGCTCTGAAAAATGAGTGGGGTGCACTCATTGACTGTTAAAATACTGGACACACCTGTGATGTCACCCAAATCTTTCTTTTTTTTTTTTTTTAACCTTGTCCTGTCTGGCTGTGAAGCAAGCAGAATTGATGTCTGAATGCTGGTAACAAGCCGTACAGATTTATTCTCAGGTGGAGCATCAAAGCGTCTGTTTTTAATGTCACGCCTGATACTTCAAATTTTATTGTTGTTGTTTTTGAATGCTTTGTTCCGACCAGACACGGAGACAGAGGTGAAAGAGAAAGGAAAAAAAACAAATGGTGGGAAGAAAGAGAGAGAGGAGGGGGGGGTCGTCCACAAAAATAAACAATAATGAACAAGAGTCTGCTTCTAGACCTGCAGAAAGAGAAGAGCAGAAAAAAATGGGACACACAACAATACATCGGGAGCAAGCTATCACTGCGTTAACGTGATGATGAAATATAAAATCAACATTGTTTAACTGAAGAATCACACGATAATAAACCACAGTGCATTTAGTGGCAACGACAGCCTTGAGACAAGTGTTGAACGTGCCCAAGCCCATACTTTTGAGAGCCCCATGTGAGCACCTGTGTGTGTACACGCGCTTGTTTATGTAAGGTTTCTCTATAGGAGCGTCCAATAGAGAGTGTGAGGGACCACAGATCTGCCCCCAAAGATGCGTAGGAGACGGGGGGAGCTCCAAGTCCCAGAGATCCAGGCGCTGCCCCAGAATACAGGAACCCCAGGGGGACTGCAACCAGAAAGGCCCCCCGCCCCCCTCGAGAGGCGCAGAGGATCGCCCCGGGGGGCCACAACCAGCAGCCGGCAGAGCCCTGGGAGATATCAGCGGCAAGCCCACAGGCCTGCCTGCCGCCTTCCACCCCCTAGCCGCCCGAGCCCGGGACCCAGCGACCCGGGACCCAGGGGCGACCACCCCCACCGAGGACCCAGCAGAGCCCAGGGACCCAGACCCCACCAGGCAGCCACCGGGATTGACCAGACAGGTGCCAAAGATCTTAAACCCCCTTACCCGGGAGCCACGAACACTCAGGCAGACCAAGGCACCACACCCCACACCAGGTGTGGCAGGGGGAGGGGAGACGAAGATCTATATCATCAAAGGAGGTCCCAGGAGAGGGGAGGAGTCAAAGGCCCTCCTGACATACAAACACAGCCACACACTCCCTCCCTCATGCTCACACATACACATACAACCAAAGACTTACAAAAATGCATGCCGAACACCCACTCATGCTCCCCATACACACCCTATTCACTCTGGTCCCGGTACTGCTGCACACTGGGTACAACCATCACCGATTACCAGAGTTTGACCCTTTCTGCTGGGGTGCTGATGAGCAGGCTCCCCCGCCCAACGCTAAGCACAGCAACCCACCACCCCAGACCCCAACCAGATGCCCAGATCTCCCTCCTAGTCTCCAGCTCCAGGAAGCCAAGCAACAACAGAGGTGTGCTAAGACCCCTAGTCTCCCTCCGCCTGCTTCATTATAGTGTTGTGTGTTGATGAGGTGTATTCCATGGCTGTGGTGAGCGAGCAGTGCAGGCATTGTCTGGCCTATGAAAGCGGATGCCACCGCACCACCCCACTTGCACCCACAGCCCTCGTTGTCTAAGTGCAGTTTAAAATTGGAAGTGGGCACCGGCACTCGAGAGGAGGCTGAGAAATTCCCCTGCCAAATGCCGTTGAATGTGCTCACTCCCAAGGCCCTAAGTGTGTGTTTGCGTGGAATGTCATCGGTGGAAGTGTATAAGGTGCAAATAAAATTGGGGGGCAGGTTGCCACAGGAATGCGGAAATGGGGTCCATACCCGCACTCCCTGACTTGTCCACCCCCCAAGGTCCTATGTGCATGTTTGTGTGATGATGTGAGGGAGCAGGAGGAGAAAAATATGCGGGGATGGGGAGAAACGGCTGGTTGGGCTTAGCCCTCCAGGGAGCCAGCTCCCCCACTGGCCCCAATAGGCACCTCTGTTGTCAAATTGCCACCAAGGGCATGGAGACCCTAGTCCATCCTGCCAGGGCCCAAAGCAGCAGCATTACAGAGCCCCACGGAGTCCGAAGGCACCAATTCAGCCCCACCCCAGCAGAAAATCTATGCCCATCCCTGCATTTGCACAACTTCCAGAATATGTAAGACATAGGACATCCAGGTAAGGTTGGGTCCTCCCCCTCCTGGACCTCCCCCTCCCCTGTGATGGAACAGCAGAGGAGCCAAGGTCTACATGAGGCCCCCGAATCTGGGCCAGGCACTGCTGCATGCTCCTGCCTTCTTCCCGGCAGCATACATATCAGGACCCGACCCCCAAGACCCCGCCCAGATCCCCACACGGGGCCGGCCACCCCCACACCCCGGGCCCCCAGGCCCCCACCCAGACCCGCCTAGGGGATATGCAGCCACCAGGCAGTGACCCATGGCCGCCGCCAAGACCTCCAAGGGGCCCCACTCACGACCGCCGGCAGTCCACCCCCCAAGGCAACCAAATCTTTCTGAAAGGCTTTTTTGAAGCCAAACGGGGGCTTTCGCTCAACACCATCTTGGTTGTGTCACATGACTCGTCACTCCAAGTCAATCCAAAATTGGGCAAAGAAGTGGGAATGAGAGCAGAACTATGAGGGTCTGATACCAGCGTTGTTCCCAGCTACAAGCTATTCAGAATGCCTGTGCTCGGCTTCTGACCAAGTCTTCCAAACACACCCACATCACCCCGCTTCTCCTCCAGCTTCATTGGCTGCCAGTCAACTTCAGGGTTCATTTCAAGATCCTGGTTCTGGTCTATAGGGCCTTACATGGACAAGCACCATCTTACATTGGAATCGAACCCGGATCCTCCAATTGAAAGTCATCAGCTCTACCAGCTGAGCTATGACAGTTCTTACTGAAGATTGAATCAAATTTGTTGTTCGGCTACCGCCATTGTGCTCCGAGAGGAAGTCAATGGGCCAATGAGGTGGAGGGTAAGGAGCAGAAAAAACGTACCAATTAGAGGACAGAAAAGATCAGCCACAGGCCACGCCTCCAGAGTGCCAAAACTCCCAACAGCCGAGCGAGCAGAATCAGAAACCGAGCGCGCAGAAAGGCTGCCGCGCTCGCAGTGAGGCTGCTGCGTGCATGTTTTCCTCTGCCGTGTGCTCGTTGGCCAACGCGTACATGCAGGTTTGTCACTTGTGCACATCCTTGTGCTCTCACACAGTTTGCTCCCTCTCAGTGTACAAATGACCTCGCGCGATGTATATTTTCACTCAAGAGGTTCTAACATCCATGTGCGAGTCCCGTTCGCACGCGCGCGACGTTGGACCCGTGCACGCGGAATACGGGTGCACGGGTTTTGGCACCCATCTGACGCCATATAACATGACGTGTGTGTCTCCAGTCTGACAATGCAGCGCTGCACACACTCATCTCTGATCTCTGTGAGCGCAGGGAGAGGGGCGACGCTTGCAAAATGCCTGGGACAATTATTATATTCATGTGATGGGATCTGTTAATGTTGATGGGGACAAGTTTGTAAAAGAGGAGGAAAGAAAAATAAACAGTGCTACAGAAAGGTGAGGAAATGAGTGAAATCAGGACAGCCTATAGGACTGCCATTTGGGCAAGCCATTTTAACATTTAATCAACAATTGGGCCTCTCTGTAATTCCTATTTTATGTAGCAATACTTTAAGTTATCCTAGTACTAAATGTATTCTTAGAACAAGTAATTTGTAACAATAATTACTTTTAAAACATAAGATGCCCAAGAATGGTCATGACTCTAAACTAGATCTATTAAACCTTAAATGTATTTTTTTTTAACCAGGCTGTCAACATGTTTATTTCTGTAGTGAAGTTGGCCTTTTTCAAATGGGAGTCAATGAAGATTTGCTCATTCCTGGTGCCAGCCCCTAGCGGATGTGGGTGGAACTGCAACTATTGACATTTCCGGGTTGGCTTCAGGCCTGGGAGCCGTTGGCTTCCCCTTGGATGCACCGCATGCTGGGTAGCTGGCCACAGACAGGTTAGGCAGAAGGAGGGATGGAAAAGATACAAGTCATCCCAAAATGCACGTACCCCGTCATATTCAGAAACTTTGTAACATGGAACAGGTCAGCCTGAACAGGTGTGGCCTGTGGGTCATGTGACCGCTGTTAGGTCAAAACCTCCTTTAGAACAGTGGCGGCTGGCCAGTAGAGGGCGATAGGGCGCCGCCCTCCCAGTTTCCCCTGTGTTTTTAATTTTTATTTTAAAAAATAAATAAATAAAATTAACAAAAAAACAATAGGGTTCCCTGCCCTTTGGGCTTGGAACCCTAATAATCACATATTCTAAGTTAATTGTGTGTTTTGTAACAAAAATAAATCATATATATATATCTATATTGGTCTCTGCCGATCTCTGCCGATCTCTGCCGGTCTCTGCCGGTCTCTGCCGAGCGGTGGAGGCTGTGTGCTGTTTTTCAATCGCCCAAACAAGACGGGACCAGTTGTCCAATTGCTGACAAGAAAATCAAAGGGTAGGAATGGGAATGTATCCAATCAGCGTCGACGTTGTTTCAGAACGTTTCAGAAGCATGATGGGCGATAGAGCTACCGCCAAGGCTTTCATTGGTGTTCTGAGAGTCTCGACTCCAGCACGTTTTTGGTTGTGACTCGTGACGCACATGGAGCAGACGCAGACATGGACGCCGCCAGTGACTACAACCAGCATGGATACCGGATCTCAGCAGCCACTGAATTCAGTTCGGTCTCTTCTCCAGTATCCGTTCGAGAGGAGAACTATGGTGGAAAAACTTAATGTCAAAGAGCTTGGACCAGATCAGCCCGACGTAAAGATAAGCCAGCAGGAGAAGGAGAGAGGTAAACTGTACACACGAGGCTTCTCCCGAAATTGGTACACCAGGAAGCAGTGGCTAGCTGGATGCAATCACGCTAATGCGTTATTTTGCTTTCTGTGTTTGTTATTCAAAACGGCTGGGATCCACAGAAGGTGGATGTGGAACTTGTGTCTCATTAGGGACTCCATTCATTCTCTGACTGAGGAATGCAGCGCATCAGTGCAGCAGCCAACAAAGAAACGGAGGACGTTTGGACAGGGAGAACAACAGCTGGGTGCAGAGGTAAGCTGTACATTACATTTCTGTAAACAAGACAATCAGAATCAGAAATCCTTGGTTGTCCCACAAACCGGGACTTTTGTTTAATAACATGTTTAATGTGCAATAACTGTAAAAACTAATTTCAACACACATACTTATTATACATATTTAATCACGTAAATGTGTATTTCATGTAAATTTGTACATACATCAATCTGATTCCATTTTACTTGTTACACTTCTGCTGCAGCAAACAAATTTCCCAGCTTTTGGGACAATAAAACATTTCTGATTCTCAATGAGATGTTTTTACATTTGAAGTAAAAACATCTCATTGAGAACCAGAAATGTTTTATTGTCCCAAAAACTGGGAAATATGACATTTGTAAGAGGATACTGATGACATTATTTCCTATGAAAGTTTTTCCTATGTACTTATCTGTTGTTTTTTTATTTATCTACTTTAAAGAGGATTAAGACTTTCCTGAGGAACACCATGACACAGGATGGGCTGAATGCTCTTGCCATGCTCTCCATGGAAAACAAGCTTGTCACAAACATTCCTGACTTCAATAAAAAGCTCATCGAGAGCTTTGCCACTCAGAAGGACAGAAGGGCAAAATTTCTGTACAAATGAGGTATCACACACACACACACACACAAATGCATCCACTTGATCTTTGTATAAAGTTGACCTTGGCACAACACTCCAGAAATATTTAACAGTGTAAATTTCTGGCATTTTGTCTAAGTAGTGTTTACTACCATTACTGTAACAGTGACCTGCTCATAATTTTTCGTGTTCACTCAAATGTTGAAATTAAACAAAATGTTTTTGTTACTTGCCTCTTGCATTGCCTATTTACCATTTATGGTCATGTTATTTTATGTGCAATTTAATGCAGTATTTTTCAACCTTGGTCCGCAAGGCAGCGTGCCAATAGTCAGACACACCTGGATTAATCAGTTTGTCCAATGATGTAAGACATGAAATAAAAGAGCTGTGCTTAATTCAGGAAATAGTGAAGTTGTGCAGAAAGCACAAGTTTGTTTAAAAATAAAAAAATAGCACAGCCCCACCAAAAATATTTTTCACCAGCCGCCACTGCTTTAGAACCCAACATGATGGTTCTATCTGCAGTGATGGAAGCAGTAAGAACTAATTCATCACAGAGAGAGTGAGTTCATTAGTTCTAGTTTCAGGCTGACGTCACAAACAGCTGTAGGTAACAAAAATCATGGATTACTCACCTGAGACCCAGAGGTTCACGGCTTTCTGTTTGATGATTTCTCCATCCTTGTAGACGGTGCAGATGTAAACGCCACTATCCTGCCACTGAAGGTTTCTCAGAGTCAGACTGAAGTCTCCAGTCTTCAGTAGGCCTTGATTCACCTCTACACGACCTCGATAATCCTCGTGCTGATCTCCAGGCTGTTTGTAGCCGTTCTCAAACGTATAGACCAGCTTTTCAATCCACACATGCTTCCAATCGACTTTATCCCAGTCAGGATGCTTGAGTTTGAAGTTCAGTGTGACAGACTCCGCCCCCACCTCCACTTGTTTAACATCTTTACCTGTAACAACCCAACAGGTGAAAACGTGATCTAATCAGTTAAGAACGAGAGCATTCAGCTTCAACAGAAACTCTCTTGTTGTCATAACTGGAAGTTACAGAAAAACAAACATGAAGATCACTAATGGTGTAATTCAGATTTTCTTCAGAATTACGTCGAAAGAAACTCAATATAATAATGGCAGAAATGTGTTTGTCCAATTTTAGTTTCATCAAAAATAAAACTTTATTTTATAACATGCTATTTAAAAACATATCAGACCAAGGATGGTAGCATGGCCAGCTATGCCAGTGCAAAGGGCCTAGTAAGGTTCCCATTCAAATAACCCCATGCCCTGAGAATTCTAACAAGGGCCAATCAGCTCTGAGCAGCTTATGTCACACTCTGTGACAATCAGTTTCTCATAAACTATGAAGATGGCGTCTGAAGCGAAGTACACTGAGGCTCTTTCCTCTATTCTAAATGACTTGGACATGTTTTTAAAACCAAAACAAGAAGAAGAGCTAAAAGCCTTTCGTGCCGTTGCCAGACGACATGTTTGACAACAGTAAAAAAAAAATACAGGATTACAGAATTTCCTTCTTTTTTCTGATTTGATATTTTTGAGCTGGCTAGTCCAGCCCCTCATGGTGCTCTCTGCCTCTGAGTATCCAGACTCTGTGCAGAATAGACAGAGGGCCAGTCTGGCTGGCCAGGCTACAAGATGGCGAGATGGGCTGGGGTCTCCATGCCCTGGGTGGCATTTTGGCAACAGAGGTGCCTATTGGGGCCAGTGGGGGAGCTGGCTCCTGGAGGGCTTAGGCCAACCAGCCATTCCTCCCCATCCCCACACATTTCTCCTCCTGCTCCCTCACATCATCACACAAACATGCACATTGGACCTTGGGGGTGGGCAATTCAGGGGGTGCGGGTATTGACCCCATTTATGCATTCCTGTGGCAGCCTGCCCCCCAATTTTATTTGCACATTAAACACTTCCACCAACGACATTCCACGCAAACACACACACTTAGGGTGAGTGAGCACACTCAACGGCATTTGGCAAGGGGATCTTTCAGCCTCATCCCGAGTGCCGGTGCTCACTTCCAATTTTAACTCAGACACAGTGGGCTGTGGGGGGAAGCGGTCGTGTGTGGTTGCATCAGCTGGCATAGGCCAGACGATTCCTGCACTGCTTGCTCACCACAGCCATGGAATACACCTCATCAACACACAACACTATATTGGAGCAGGCGGAGGGAGACTAGGGGTCTTAACACACCTCTGTTGTCACTTGGCTTCCTGGGGCTGGAGGCTAGGAGGGAGATCCGGCCGTCTAGTTGGGGTCTGGTGTGGTGGGTTGCTTTGCTCGGCGTTGGGCAGGGGGGCCTGCTCATCAGCACCCTAGCAGAAAGGGTTGAACTCTGGGAACTGGTGATGGTTGTACCCTTTGTGTAGCAGTACCGGGACCAGAGTGAATAGGGTGTGTATGGGGAGCATGAGTGGGTGTGTAGCATTGATTTTTGTAAGTCTTAGGTTGTATGTGTGTGTGTGAGCACAAGGGAGGGAGTGTGTGACTGTGTATGACTGTATATGTCAGGTGGGGTCTTGGACTCCTCCCCTTTCCTGGGACGTCTTGTGCTACTACACATCTTCGTCGCTACATGCTTGGTAAGTATGAGGATTGCTGTAAAGACACTGACACTAGTCAGTGACTCGATGCAACTTGCTGGGTTCCTTATACAAGAAGCTTTTTACAGATTGGCTTAATTAACTGACCTGTATTGGAATGTTTACCGTGCGAAGTGCCTCGAGATGACTCTATAAATAAAATTGGATTGGATTGGATTGGACTCTTGTCGTGACTTGGCGCTTTATAAATAAACTTGAATCGAAAAAGATTTGTGCCATAATCAGGTTTGTTTTCTTTACACAAAAGAAATTTTAGATTAGATATTACCCGGGGCGAAAACCCCATTTCACTTTCGGGGGGAACAGCTAGCCGGCCGGACTTTGGACATGCCAGATCTAGTTTGACCTGGTCACACAGCAGCTGAGATTTGTGGAGAGGAGACTGAAGGTAGCAGATGTAGGTCATATACTTTTGGTTTAAAAAGAATGGCCTCTGTCTTATCATCAGCGTTAATTCATTTTAATGGAAATTCTCTGGAACGTCTGTCCCTTGCTTGCTCTGAATACAATTTCAAAACTTCCAAACACATTGACACTGAGCATGTCATTGTGATACTGAGGAAAAAAAACATCAAAGAAGGCTTTTCTGTACAGTCAATGAGCACAATAGTACTTACACGTACTGTGTGAGTGGCCGTCAACCAAACCATACAGAATATTCAAATACTGTATTGGAGCAATAATGGGAGTATACAGGTGTGTAGGAGGCAGGACGTGATTCAAACACACCTAAGCACTTTTCTAGGAAGAGTGCGAGTTATCATGCATGAATTGTGTGCACGTTTGATTAAAAAAATAAATAAAGAAAGAAATCAGGAAAAAAAAATGGAGGACTCACCTTTGAACCAGAGTTCCACTAGTCTTTGTTGGATAATTTTTCCATCCTTGTAGACGGTGCAGATGTAAATGTGTCCATCCTCGTAGCGAGGCTTCATCAGAGTCAGACTGAAGTCTCCAGTCTCCAGTGCGTTTTTATCCCCCTTCACTCGATCTTTATACCACGGGTGCTGATCTTCCAGCTGTTCTTGGCAGTTCTCAATCTTATAGAGCAACCTATCAGTCCTCACATGTCTCCACTCCACCACTTCCCCATCACGAGGATTTTTGAGGTTGAAGGGCAGTGTGACACAGTCCTGCCCTGCTTCTGCCTCCACCGTGTATAACAGTTGGTCTGAAATAGGAGAACAAATGAAGTGACACAAAAAGACTCAGACTGTAGCAGCTGGTTCTAACTGAGCCTGAACCTGAACTGAGGTCCTAATCTACAATAGCAGCAAACAGCTGTGTGTCTCTGACACAACTAAGTCCATCCAGCGATCAGAACTGTTCTGAGCTCATCATGTCACCGATCACTGGGAGAAGTCACTCAAAACAAACTTCAGTCTTGGTGAAAAAGTTTACTGAAGCACCAACATGATCCAAAAAGTAAAACAGCAGCGAAGCTGAGACTAACATTTAGCACTTATTTTCTCTGCGTTTTATCAGCAACCCGATCATCTGGTTGGGTTAGGGTTAGGATGTGATGCTGCCTACTGTCACAGATACGTCCGCCATTTCAGTACATGGTGACGTTTCATACTTCTGCTCTCTAGGACTCTAAACTGTCTCTGAGCTTATACAGTTGACCTTAAAAGCTTCCCGCTCCATTTACAAAACACATTTTGTATCATTATAAAAATAAAAATGAACCCGGTTAAAAAGGCATACAAGTCATTAGATGGCTAGAACTTGTTCCTGTCAGGACATGTGAGGCAAATACTTTACTTTTTATTCTGTCATGAGACTCTGGCTCCCATGATGTAGATGGACCATCCACTATAAAACTGTCTTTATGGCTGTTAACCGTTTACTTTGGTGTATTTCATCAGCTGGAAACCTTTAGTCTGTTTGTGCAGCCTACTACATGCACTATTGAGAACTAGCAGATCAAAACAACAGTATAGTGCCTTCTTAGGGTTCTACAACCCCCCAAGGCGCTTCACAGCACAATCAGTCATTCACCCATTCACACACACACTGGTGATGATTAGCTACGATGTAGCCACAGCTGCCCTGGAGTGCACTGACAGAGGTGAGGACTGCCAAATACAGGCGCCACCGGTCCACAGGTCCTCCGACCACCACCAGCAGGCAAGGCGGGTTAAGTGTCTTGACAGCAGCATTCTAAGGTGGGAGCCGGGATCAAACCTGCAACCTTCCGATTACTGGATAACCTGTTCTGCCTCCTGAGTTACTGCTGCCTCTATGTGATATCACCAAGCCCCCATAATACTGGTATGAAAATGAAGCCAACACGAAAGTGAAAAAAATTGCAGTTCCACCCTCATCCACTAGGGGCTGGTGTCAGAAGCGAGCAAATCCTCATTGACTCCCATGTTAAAAATGCCAATTTCACAGCAGAAATAAACACGTTTACAGCCTGGTACCAAAACATGTTTTTGGTTTAAATGATCTAGTTTACACTCATGACAACTCTGAGGGGGTGAATTTTTTCTCACTCTTCTGTTTAAGTGTATTAAAAGCCTAAAATTCTGTATAATTAATGAGCATCAGACCCACGTGACCACAGAGCTAGCTCTGGGGAAAGGCCTCAGTAGAGCCTCGGTCTGGCTTGGAAACTGTAACTCTGAACTTAGACCAGTTGTAGCATTTGTGCGTTCTTTTTGGATAATTTTGTGCAATTGTTGGACAAAATGACTTGCTGTGGTATTAATTGCACTAATAGAGCGTCCAAGGAGTCTCCACTTCATTTTTTTCGGTAAGTAAAATTATATTTATGTATTTTAGGTCACTGCCGAGCTGAGCTTAGATTTTAACATGTACTGTTTAACCATGAAATTTAAATGTAATAGGGTAAACCCCAGTGCATTTAACATAATGCTGCACTTTAGAAAATGGGTTGAAATATAACATGTTGGTGGAGCACAGTTGTGCACAGTTAACTCCGGTTGAAGCTAGGTAGCTACCTCCGTTAGCTTAGCTCCCACCTCCGCGTTAGCTTTTTGGTTAGCTTGTAGCTACATCACTTCAGTTCGACGGGTGTAGTCGTTTGATCCCAGCCTTACAGCCCCACCCTCAGCTCCACCTCTCTTCCCTTTTATGGAATTGTCTGGGCTTGACGGAACCCATGACACGGTCAAAATGGTGGTGGTGGCCACCTCCCATTTTGGCACAAAAACTTATTATCGGAGTCCATGGACACAAATTGTTCAGTATATATGTCGATGGATATCACATGTCAATGGGTCTTTAAGATGAGAAAACAGTTAGATTTTTGTTGACACTGGCAGCATCTTTCTCATCTGCTACACCTGACCAACAAACACAAAACATTGTGCTCCACTGCTAATGCCCACTACAGGTGCAGAGACCCAAGTAATACGAGAGCATGCCACAGGATATCCACACCTGAGAGCTAAAGAGAACGCTATTTGCTACCTTTCTGAGTTTTAACAGGTTTAAGAAGGTGTACAAAGTGACTCAGAGACGAGCAGAATTGACACTCCATAAATGTGTTCATGAGTTCAGTCTTCAATAACATCACTAGTTTATCTGCTATTAAAAGTGCCAATTAAGTCTTTAGCAGCAAAAACAACAACCTGCTCCTCAAGTGTCAAAAGAACAAATAAAATATTTCATTTAGTTGACTGTACCAAAATATAGTTGTATAACCTGTCTGATGTGTTTTTTATGATAGTTTTACAAAAACATTACTACTAATAAAATAAATTACTAGGGCTGCACGATAGTAGGAAAACCTGCGATATTCGATAACAGTGATTAACGTTGCGATGACGATATTACTTGCGATTAATAAAAACTTAACTCGGGAACAAAAATAATCAAAAGCAAAGAAATAAAAAATCATTAAAATGAGAAAAGCAAAAAAATGTGAGGAAAGGGAAAAAGAAAATGAACGAGAAAAGGCAATCAGTGGATCCCGACAAAAGCAGAATCAGCAGAAAGAGCAGAACAAAGCTAACTCAGGTGTTTGCTAACCATTAAAATTAAGTGACATCCGCCTCGGGGGCGGGCATCTAACCTATGAGAACCCACCCAATTGGCCAAATGGGTGAAGAGCTCTATTTGATTTGTAAAAAAAACCACCATGCTTCTGTTTGACTGACAGAATGCATTATGCGTAGCAAACATTTGAACTGACCATTCACTGCGATATTTATCTGTTCGTTGCGATATGCATATTGTGCTTGCCGATATCGCGATAACGATATATTTACGATATATTGTGCAGCCCCATAAATCACTAAATAAAGCAGAAGTAAAATGTCTGACAGGGTCAGAGAAAGCAGAAGCTGTTCCGTTCCACTGAAACATTAACAGACAGAAACACTGACATACCTTCAAAACTCTTTTTCATTTTTGTCTTCTGTATCTGACAGAAGAAGACGCCAACTCCAATGAAGAGGGCTATGATGACAACCAGTGCAGCAACAACATATGCAGGCCAGACTGGAGGAGGAGGAGGAGGTTCTGCAGTGAACACAAAATAATATGAACATGACAGGAAGCATTCCAGTGACATCACTTCCTGCCTGAGTGAGCCGAGTTTCAACAGGTGATGTTTATTTTTTGTGTGTGACTGCTCTGTCATCTAAATCCCCAATGAGTTTTGGCAGACAGCTGCTTTCACTGATCCAGGATCTGTTGGAGGTTTCTTCTTGTTAAACGGGAGTTTTCCTCTCCACTGTCGCTATATACTTGCTTAGTATGAAGATCTGCTGGGTTTCCCAGTCTATCAATAGCCTTTTAAATGTTTTTAGATGGATTTTGTTGGAACATAAAGTTTTTATAAAGGATGACAGTGATACTGCATGAATAAGTAGCTTAGAGTAGAAAAAGCAGATCAGTGCAGCTCAGAGCTGCTAATTCTGATGATCACAGACTCGGTTTTGGGGATTCTGTTTAATGACTGGCTGTGACTGTGGTACTGAAACTTGTTAATTGCTCCTTAATGTCAGGAAATTTTACTAAATCCTTGAAAACTGCTGCTGTTAGCCTATTTTAAAGGGAAGAAAATTAGATTCCTTATTAGTGATGAATACAGTAAGTACAGACCGATCTTTTATCTCTCTTTCATTGGGAAAATGCTGGTCACTGTAATCCAAAAGGGTTCAAATAAAGGAAACTGGACTACTTTGGTTTCTTGAAGGCATTTCTCTTCTCATACGAGGAGCTTTGTCAATTCTAACTGGAATATGAGAGAGTCAAGCTTATAAGCTGTAGCTGTCTATTGTTATCTAACGAGTCAAGACTACTCTGCTTGACCCTTCCTTTCAGTTAAGCAGACTGAAGACAAGACTGAAAATATTTTCTTTGGAAATAAAGATAGGATCGACGTTATTGCTAAACTTGGCTCCAGAGGGATAAAGACAAAAACTCAGGTTAGAAATCGAAGTGTCATAATTGATTCAGACCTGGGTGTCACCGGTCATATTAAGGCTATAACCACCTCAGGGGTCTCATGTCCATAAAAGACCAAGAAAAACTCGTTCACGTGTTCATCTCCAGCAGGATGGACAATTGCAATGGTCTTTTGTCTGGTCTTCCCAAAATAAAAAAGCTTAAATAAATAAAATAAAATAAAACACAGCTTATTCAGAATGCTGTTTCTATCTGTAGTCTTAACAAGAACTAAGAGAACCGAGCACATCACTCCTGTTCTTAAAGGAGCAAAATGTAAGGGTGAAGTAAAAATTCTACAGTGAAATAATGTTTTGTAATTAAAAAACAGCCTAATGTTGGAATCATGTTGGAAGAGTGGTTACATTGAGATAGATTTCATTCTGAGCCGGCTGGAAGAATGTCAGTTTTTCTTCTTTCGAATAAGAGGGACATAGTTACTGCTTACATCCAGTGAGTTTGTGAGGTGGCAGAGGCTGCACTGATCTACCGCTGCGGCATCAGCATTTGTAATTTGACACCTTGGCGCCAAGAACAGCCGCCGGCTGTTCAACTGACCACTACCTGGTGGTGAGTTGGCTCCGATGGTAGGGGAGGATGAGTGAGGGTGTGGATGAGATCCGGCGGGGGTTTCTTAAGGCTTGAGATGTTGTAGGGGCTGTGTTGGCTGACGCAGCTCTGCAAAATTGCGTGAACATTGGGGGCAATTCCACTGGACTGGGGTGGTGGTCCCCCTATTTAAAAAGGGGGGCCGCAGGGTGTAGCTCTGTACCCTTAGAGGGGATGTTTGATCGCGTACCTCGATAAGCCCTGTGGGGGATACTTCAGGAATATGAAGTGACTCTGTGTTATGGGCTGGTAAGTCCCTGTATCATCGGTGTCAGAGCTTGGTCTGCATTGCCGGCAGTAAGTCAGGCTCGTTTCCGGGAAGAGTTGGACTCCACCAAGATTGCCCTTTGTCACAGATTCTGTTTTCTGACAGGATTTCTAGGCACAGCCAAGGTGTTGAGGGGATCCTTTTTGGTGGCCTTAGGATCAGGTCTCTGCTTTTTGCAGATGATGTTGTCCTGTTGGCTTCATCAGAACATGATTTGCGACTTTCGCTGGAGCGGTTCGCAGCCGAGTGTGAAGCAGCTGGGATGAGAATCAGCTCTTTTAAATCTGAGTCTTGAGTCGGGTCAGGGATGAGCTCCTGCCCCAGGTGGAAGAGTTTAAGTATCTCGGGGTCTTGTTCATGAGTGAGGGAAAGATGGAGCGTGAGATCGATAGGCGGATTGGTGCTGCATCTGCAGTGATGCGGGCGTTGTACCGGTCTGTCGTGGTGAAGACGGAGCCGAGTCAGAAGGCGAAGCTCTCGATTTACCGGTCCATCTACGTTCCTACCCTTACCTATGGTCATGAGCTTTGGGTAGTGACCGAAAGAACGAGATCGCTGATACAAGCGGCTAAAATGAGTTTTATCCGCAGGGTGTCTGGGCTCCTGCCGACGTCATCCTACTACGGCAATACCGCTCGGCCAAAGTATATTGCATCTCTTTTTTAATTCTGTTCTTTCACAAATGTTTTGCAAAGAGTTTAGCAGTTTTGTTATTAAATTTGTTGAGAAGCAACATGTCTTTAAACCAAAGAGTGTTCATTCAGGAATGTAATTTGTTATGTAACATGAATTTGTTTGTTACCCTCAGGAGGTGTCCTCTGTGGCAGCCATTTTGAAGCAGCTAAAGAGGAAGCCTGCCTCTAATGCTGCCTTTATATAGGAAATGCCTGAGTGGACTGATGTGATTGGCCGACCTGAACTGGAGGGGGGTCGGAGAGTATATAGGTGGACTGCTGGGTGTGGCAAAGGATCGTTTTTCCTCTCTGAAAGTGACAGAGACTGCTAAGAGAGTTGGATGGGTGGCCATTTTGAATAGTGCTGGGATTTTCTGATTTTGTTTTTTTCGGACCAGAGGAAATAAAATTGGTTTTCCTTGTCTATCGACCAAGTCATCATGTTTCTTTTGTCCTCACTACACTTCACTGTGTAACAAAATTCATGTTTCTTACTTTCTAAATGTTTTCGAATGTGGTAAAGTAACTTCTGTAAGTCGTACGTTCAGCCAATCATCTAGTGTGACATCATCGACAGGCGCAGAACCCTGAGCTGTCCAGAAGGAAACATGGCATCCTGGAAGATGCTAGACCCACACCCTTTGTACTTTAGACCTCATTTTTAAGATTACATGGTACAAAGCCACCAACATTTTCAACAACTGAACATCCTTTTATTTATTTTCAACAATGTTGATTCAAGGTAAAAACTACTGATTGTCAGACTTCGGACGTCTTTTGCCCTGCCCACGTGCTCAGAGATGCACTCATGACATCACTGATACCTTCACACCAATTTAGGAGACCGCCCATATGCTGGGTAATGTTGAATGTGAAAGGATGCGTGTAATCAATCTGGCCAGGCTGGGGAGGGCTGGGGCTGACTGCATGCAGTGGAGCTGGCACTAGTGTGGAGGGGCATTCATTTAGTGTTCATGTGCTGTTTATGCAGTTAAAAGTGTTGTTGTTTGAGTAATTTCATGCGACTGAGCAGCGTGTGCTTCTTGTTAGTGGGTAACCAGGTTAGCCTTAGCTAAATTCTAAATTACACAGCATCTTTGTCAGATAACATCCATTTTTTATTTTACTTTATTAAGCTAATTTAGCTGCAGAAACTTTTTAACTGACTGACAGGACTGACCTTTGACATACAGAAGTACCTCGGCTTGACTCAGTGTTCTGTCCCTGTTAACCACGCAGGTGTAGGTCCCACTGTCAGCGTATGTAGGGTTCCTCAGAGTCAGACTCAGGTCTCCGGTCACCAGAGCGTTGTTCATCACTGACGTTCGATTGATGAATCGCTGGTTTTGACCTGTCAGATAATCTCCAGCTGGCTGACGGATATGAACAGCTGAGGGTTGGAGGTCCGATCGTTTCCACACCAGTGTGGAGCCTCTGGAAACCAAGACATCTACCAGACAGGGCAGCAGGACAGACTCCACCCCAATTTCAACGCCCACCTCCGCTGCCGAGACATGCTGGGAACCTGAGAGCAGACATTGTAGAGATTATCCAGAACACTTCAGTGACTTGAGATAGGTTTGTGACAAAGAATCCAAGATGGCAGCCCTACCAGTCTACTGTTCGTTTGCGAGTCCCTGACTATTTTACGTTCGATGTATTTGTCTGATCTAACCCTGGCAGCACACTGGAAGCCTCAGTGGTGCAGAACAGCAGAGGAACAGTTTACTTGTGTGGTTACTTTTAATAAATGATCAATAAGATGTGATATTCCATATAAATATGACCTAAGATTAAACCGGGTCTTTTTGGTTGTTCAGGAAAATCACACCGTTGTAATAATTTGAGACAAAGGCAAAAATATTGTTTTAAAAATCTATTTAATACTACATTTCTACTACTACACAAAACAAATTATTAGGGAAGTGGATCTTGGAGCAAGTCACGATTTGATTCGATTCCGATTCTTGGGGTGCCGATTCTCGATTCTCAATTTAATTCGATTCACTATCAGTATTAACAAAGAGTGTCAGCTCCAGGATGAACTACTTTGTTGTACAAGTCAGTTAAAGCTATGGGACATTTTTATTTGACTTTAAACTGGTCATGCTCCAAAAATGCACATTTACAAAGTAAACTAAAGTGATTCTAAAACTGTAAACAGAAACAATCTTTTCACCAAAAGGCAACATTTATTTATGCTTACCTTGTAAAATATAACAAATCTGTAGTTACCTAACAGTAGCGTTGAAAGTAATACGGTCAAATACTTTTCAAGTATGTGTAGAAACAAGTTACATGAGTAATCCTGAGTACTCATTTATCAACTTAGAAAATAAATATGAGAATATCTCAAATTTCTGAGAATGGAAAACATTTCATTCAAGTGTCCTCTTGTCAGCAGATTCAAACATAAATCATCTCAATGTATGGGACCACAAAAGTAAACGGAGTACTGACTCTCCTAACAAAGATCAAAAAAGCGCATCTCAAACCTGTAACATGCCAAATATTTGAGTTCTTGGAATCGATTCTGAATCTTTATAAATAAGAATCCCGATTAAAACTTGAATCGATTTTTTTCAGCACCTCTACAAATTATGATGAAAGATGGTTGAAACCACATAACTGAGACAATGAATGAACCAATGGAATGTTTTGTTAAAAACCTAATTAAGTGTCTTAGAAAACTGTGAAGTCTGGCTGTATTTAATAGGCCTTGGCTGGCCTGGACAGAGCCTGGTCTCTGTCTGGCTTTATCTGTTTCTGATAGCCTGAACTGGGCTTTCCAACATCTCCGGACTGGACTGCTAGTCCAGTCAAGTTGGCTTGTGTCTGCTGGGGCTGCTTGGATCCTGTCTCTGTTGTGGCTCCCATTACTTTACCCTGCTGCAGTCACAAAGCCTGGTTCTGCTTTGACTTTCTATGCCGGGCCTATTTTCAGCCACCTGGAGCTTGGGCCGAGTGGCTTATCTTGTTATGTTGCCAAGTAGGTGCTCAATGCAACACCTCCTGGGGACACAGCCTTCAACACCTTCCTATGACCTGGAGTAATTATGAACCAATCACAGGCGTTATTCTGCTGAGTTGATGTTTGTAAGATACAAGATTGAAGATTGTTTGGCTTGAGAGGACGTACAGCCAAGCGGATTTCATCCCACAGACATGGATCATACTCCTAAACCCAGCATGCTGCACTGATAGAGCCTTCAACACCTTCCTGGAACCTAATTCCTGTGCATTTATTGCTAACCCTAACAATATTTCTGTTTGCCTTTGACCTTTAATACAAAAGACTTTATGATCTTTCGCTCCTCAGGCTGAATCACATCTGGGTCATAAAAGTGAGGTGGAGAAGATTGTAGAAGCGGAGTGTATGGTTTTTCACCAGAACAGGCTCTGATTTAACTCTGAGAACAAAGAGATTACTGACTCAACAGAACTGGTTTCTCCACCACCTCTCCTGTCCTTCTACCCGTTTGAGCTCTGCTTTAAAAAGCTGCCTGACAGCTTCACTGAAACACGTTTGGTCAGACATTCAGGTATGACAGGAGGGAACCGGGAAGAAGTTTTACTATGTTTAGATGGATTCCTGTAAGAGAATCAGTGTTCCTGTTTTTACTGCTGGTTATTATGGTCTGTCTCAGTGTTTCTTCAAGAGGCTTAGGGGTGTGAGAGCTGCTGTCCTCTTTTAATCTGCAGATGTTTGTAAGAAAGAAAGAAAGAAAGTCTTAATTTTCACCTCATATATCTGTTCACTAAAATATTTCAGACACAAAATAAGGCAGAAAAATGAGGAGTTGAAACTACAAGCAGCAGGTAAAGGGACTTTACGGAGTTTTGAATTTTTATGCTCGTGATTGCCCCCTCAGGCCAAAAGCGTAACGGCAGCTTCATTAGTAGGCTCGCGCATGCTGTACGTGCACACTCCTTAACGAAAATAACAGCTGAGACAGTCCCGTGTGTGTGTGTGTGTGTGTGTGTGTGTGTGTGTGTGTGTGTGTGTGTGTGTGTGTGTGTGTGTGTGTGTGTGTGTGTGTGTGTGTGTGTGTGTGTGTGTGGCCTGGAGGACAGGAGAACGCGCAGCTAATTAATTAAATAATGTGGTTCTGTACCTTTCTCTTCAGCACAGCCGACAGGTTTATGATGGGTCAGTCCTCCTGCATGCTCAGATCATTCCCTTCCCTTGCTTGAAAATTTGTTCCAAAATGGAAGTTGAATCCACATCTTTTTTATCTGTGAATGCAATGCCGTTCGGCGAGTCTCAAATAAAAATTTGGGCATCTTACTGTAAAAAATGTACTATTAATGTAGAAAAGAAACTCTAAATAAACTATGTTCACATCCAGAATCAAACCCAGCTCTCCTGCATGAGAGTCAGACATCTTACAAGGTGAGCTACACTCTAGTAACATTCACAGTATCTGTAACTTTTATATCCTTGATGACAGCTGAAACAACGTCAAACCAAAGAACGGTTCGGAGTGAAAATGGCTATTTTGTTGCTAATTTGCAGGAAATCTAGAAGAAAGTTCTACAGAAATGTAGCTAGGTTCGTCGCTAGGCGTTAGGAACAGCGACAAAGTGGCACTGCCTCTCTCTCTGCTGCTAAAGCTACGGATAGCAAATGCTACGGGCGATGCCTGAGCGTGAACGCGCATGAAGCAGCCTGCTCGACCCGAGCATCTCTCTTTTTCTGTGATTTTACAGAAAAACAGGCAATCACAGTAAAAATGCCAGGGCTCATTCTACAGGACCAGGGCATTGCAGGAGAATGTATGAAGAAGACATTTATTATTTCTATACATGTTTTGGCTGTCAAACTTCCATAATGTCCCTTTAAGGAAGCATTTCAAGGACTTATTATGAATTTATGATCAATTGTGAATCTTTATTAGAGTTCTGGCCTCATAAGATAATTAAAGACTTTTATATTCATTGTGTGTTTTATACCCTGACCCCTCATGAGCTACAACGTAGACACTGCTGTCCCAGGGCACACTGACGGAGCGAGACTGCTGAACACAGGCACCACCGGTCCCTCCGACCACCACCAGCGGGCAAGGTGGGATAAGTGTCTTGCCCAAGGACACAACAGCAGAATTCTCCGCCAGAAGACGGAATTGATCCTGCAACCTCCCACCACTTTCACGGAAGCCCAAAGTACATTTTAACACAGAAACATTCATTAAAGTGGTTCAAATCTCTTTTGAAGAGCATTTTTCCCCTAAAAGGTTCAATAATAGTAACAGTCAGAGGTGTGGACTCGACACACATGACTTGGACTCGAGTCATTATTTAATGACTTCTGACTTGACTTGATAAAATCTATAAACGACTTGACTCGGACTTGAACGACAATGACTTGCGACTAGAATCGACTTGCATCTGTTGACTTGATGATGACTCGAGCATATTTGAAGAAGAAGAAAATCCTCTCAAGATAAAAATCACGAGGCGCTTCACAAAAACAAAAAATGTAAAATACAAAAAAGAATTTAGAAAATGATTAAAAACATTTAAAATGAGCAAAAGATAGACAATTGTGATTAAAAATGTAAAGAAAGAGAGAGAGAGTGAATCGGAAAGAGGGAAATCAGTGGATCCTGAGGAAGGTGGGATAGGCGGGAAGAGCAGAACATGGAGAAGGTGATGAAGGTCACACCAACACCAGCTTTAACAGGTGACTTTTCAGCTGCTTTGATATTTTAGCTCAAAAGTGGCCCGACGTGGACAAAAATCATGAATCATTCTTGGTTCTGGGTTTGATCTTGTTCCGCTAAATGCAGCAGCACTTTGTTTAGAATCAGTTTCACTTTCACTTTCTGCTTGTTTGAGCAAATAAACGAAGCTTTAAGAAACTTCATTTCTGGGATTTATTTATTATTATTGTCATTACATTGAAGTTGGACTGATGACTTGATTATGACTTGAAAATTCAAAGTTAAAGACTTGGACTTCCACATCACTGACTTTGGACTCAATTTGGACTTGGTTGTCTTTGACTCGGACTTGACTCGAGACTTGACTGGCAAGACTTGTGACTTACTTGTGACTTGCAAAGCAGTGACTTGGTCACACCTGTGGTAACAGTTCCATGTCTTTGAGGCTCAGATCTGTTTTTAATGTCCTTCCACCACGATCAGGACCTGAGAGCTTCTCAGCAGCTTCACAAACACTAAACACAACGTTTGGTCCTTAAACGGAATAAAACGAGCCGTCATGAGATCTGTCTAAAGAAAATAAACTAGTGGACCGACAGCTCTCTCTTCATTTCTACTGAAAACTCCAGTTTCCTGCTATTTACTCACACCAGACAGACACCAACACAAAGTTTCTTACCGTGAGACAGAACCAGCAACAACAGAAGCATCTTCTTGGTTCAGTAAAAACACCAACCAACAACTTAGAGGTTACATCTGCTCCAGACCGACATCTTAAGACTAGTGACGATGGCACCGGTATCTGACAGAGCACCGGGGTTCCGAGGCTCGTGCCGAGCAGGAAGGGGGCGTGTCCAGAAACTCACGTCACTGATGACAGACGACTGTACAGACGGGACTATTTGTTTAGTTTGTATTTTTAATTGTTCCTCTGTTCCTCCCTTCCCGGGTGTCACTGAAGAAGATATGCAGCACCTGACTACTCCCGCACCTTGTGCAGCTCCATTGGGACTCTGCCACACACACACACACACACACACACACACACACACACACACACACACACACGCACGCACGCACTCACGCACGCACGCACGCACACACACACACACACACACACACACACACACACACACACACACACACACGCACGCACGCACTCACGCACGCACGCACGCACACACACACACACACACACACACACACACACACACACACACACACACACACACACACACACACACACAGGGAAAACGGAAGAGACATGAAGGGACTGGGGAGACATAAAAAGCAGGACATGAAAGGTTTGACCTCTTCTTCCTTGTACTTCATCAGTGTGACATAGTTTAGAGGAAATGTGTCTGTGGCACTGCCGGGATGTTGTGTGGAAGCTTGATGAAGGCCTTCAGCTTGTCTGTTGTAATGTCTCATCCTCCTCGAGACAATAAGTCTTTATGCTGATCAGGTCTGGCGAGTCACACAGGAAAAATCACACGATTACTCATCTGATTATCAGCAGGTGACTAACAGGCTGAACAGGTAAGCTGGAAGTAAACATGCCACACAGCGGCTCTCATGGACATGAGTTTGACTACCCTGCTCGAATCCATCAGTTTATAAATCAGTGGAGCCCAGTTGGACCCCTCACATTGTCCAAGATAAAGTTAACCCATGTACTGCCCACATAAAGCCCGTGTGGGCTCCAACAACTAAGCCAGCCAAAGCCCAACTAGCCCAGGTGGACGTGTTTACAGAATTCCATCAGTAACTAGTCCATGGTTCCTGTCAACTTTTTGTGCCTGCTTCAGCTTAGTTCCAAATGTGTTGAGTAGCAGCAAAACCACCACGCATCTCTAGGGTGTACTGACCATTGCTCACAGCCTCCATCCACAGGGACCCTATCAGAAGCTAGGTTTCCTGTGGATGGAGTTTAAAACTCAGATGAAAGGATGCTCTCCTCTGATGTGATTGGTTGTTTCCCTTTTAGCTAAATATTAACAGTCCCACACCATACCACATTCATTTTTAAGCACATTTTACCCTCCCACTGTCCTAATGGGTGACCCCGCGAGGAAAGTTGACCATTGAGAATGATTTATGGTTTATCCCTTGGGTCCACGTGGCAGGGGTGAGGAGTGAGCACCACCTCACCCCTGCCACATGGACCTCAAAGGATAAACCATCAATCCTGCTCAATGGTCAACTTTCCTCACGGGGTCACCCATAAAGACAGTGGGAGGGTTAAAAACTGCTTGGCAGCTGATCAAAGTGCTGTACAGATAAAAATGGAACACAATATACAAAACAAAAAAGCATACTGTAATCAACAATAAAACTAGTAGAAAATGCACAGAACACATTATTAAAATAAATGGCAGCAATAGAAATTCATGTGTGGGAAATCGCCAGGCCATAAAAATGGGCTTTGGGTAATGACTTCAAACGAGGGACGGATGGCGTCAGTCTCACTGAGAAGGAAAGAGCGTTCCAGAGGGTGGAAAAGCACCCCCTGAGTTATATCTCATGGAGGGAACATAAAGCAGCAGATGATCAGCCAACCTCAGTGCCGGTTTTGGCACATAGTGAGCAACCAGGTCTGCCAGGTAAACCAGGGCCAGACTGTTCTGGGATTTCAATTCAATTCAAAACAAGTTTATTTATAAAGCGCCAAGTCACGACAAGAGTCGTCCGAAGGCACTTCACACCATAACCATTCCACTACAGGTCAGTTCATCTGAAATCAAAGGTTAAAATCTTAAACTTCACACACACACACACACACACACACAAACACACACACACACACACACACACACACACACACACACACACACACACACACACACACACACACACACACACACAGACATGATGATTGGTGAGTTTTGTACCAGTCTGTTAAATCAACTTGAGACTCAAGAAGAATGGTAGTAATGGATTACATGATGATCGTTCGTTCGTTCGTTCGTGCGTGCGTGTGTGCGTTCGTTTATTCGTTCGTTCATTCATTCATTCATTCATGGCAGTTGTGGCTACATTGTAGCTCATCCCCACCAGTGTGTGAATGGATGAATGGCTGTGTTGTGAAGTACCTTGTGGGGCTGTAGAACCGTAAGGAGCTATACAAATGCAGGCCATTTACCTTAATAAATTAATTAATTAATTTATTTATTAATTAATTATTGATTGATTCATTGATTGATTCATTGATTCATTCATTCATTGTGGGTGGAAGATTCACCCTGTTCATGTCGCAGCAGAACCCCATCAAATATTTTATTATCAAAACTAAAATCTGAGATGAATGGCTGAGATTAGAGAATCTGTAATGGAGTCACCATAGAGCAGAGGCAGGTGCTCTGTGATGTCTGAACAGCAAAACGACTTTCACTTCCTCATAAACACGTTCTACACATCAGCCACAGAGATCTCATCTGTAGAATCAGACAACATCTTGCATTTTTCTGTTTGTGCATTAAGATGAATGAATGGATTCTTTTAATTTGACTTTCAGTTGGCGGGTAGTTGACGTGATATTGGGAAAGGTCGAAGCTGAGGCTCATTTTGGGCATTTCATCTTTAGCGTCTTTAGCCTCATGATAAACATGAACAATCAAACAAGATAAAACAATCTATTCTTGAAAACATTAGGCTCTTTCACACCTAACTGCTCTTCCCAGGGGAACCTCTTCAGATTGCATTCGCACAGAGCTCAGGAACCTTTCAGAGGCGGGCACGACAAAACCGCCTGCAACAGTGTGATATGTTAATTAAGTGCCTGAATAACACCACAAAAAAAAAGGCTATCTCCAGCGGTCAATGGACAATCAGGCGGGGTACACCCTTGACAGAGAGCCAGTCCATCGCAGGGCAACACAGAAACACACAGGACAAACAACCATGCACACACACAGTCACAACTAAAGACTATTTGGACAGACCAATCAACCTAACAGTCATGTTTTTGGACGGTGGGAGGAAGCCGGAGAACCCGGAGAGAACCCACGCATGCACAGGGAGAACATGCAAACTCCATGCAGAAAGATCCCAGGCCAGGAATCGAACCCAGGACCTTCTTGCTGCAAGGCAACAGCTCTAACCACTGTGCCACTGCGCAGCCCCTAACCCTAACCCATACATCAAAACCAAAATATCACTGCATCCGCAACATGAGGATATATAACAGTAACCATTTTTACTGAACAGCATACGGTAAATATTCATAGTGCATTAATCACCAACCACAGCCTTAGGCCATGTGTTTAAATGCCCAAGTCCATCCTTGTGAGAACAGCATGTGAGCACCTGCGTACAACGCGCTTGTGTAAGGTTTCTCTACAGGAGTGTCCAATAGTGAGGGGTCACAAACCTGCCCCCAAAGACATGTGGAAGCCTGAGGGGACTCAGAGATCTAGCGGTCTCCCCGAGACCCCAGGGAGACCGCTGCCAGAGAAGCCCTCGCCTCCCTCAACGGAGGCGTAGTGGTTTACCCCGCGGGTCGCAGCCACACGAGAGCCCCGGGAGAGCCCCGGGGGATAACAACGGCAACCACCCAGGCCCACACACAGCCGCCCACCCCAGAAAATGCCTGGCTAGGAACCCAGCGGCCAGGAACCCAAGGCCGCCCAACCCTGGGTCGGACCCGACAGAGGGATCACGAGCCACAACCCCACCAGGCAGCAACCGGGAGCAACCCGACAGATGTTGAAAACTTCCAGCCCCCGACCTGGGAGCTGCGAACATGCAGGCAGACCGAGGCAGAACTTTTTGGCAGCGTGAAGATGTTCCAAATGTATATTTTAACAAAACAAATACAGTGAATGTCCCCTGCTTCAAAAGGGGTTTGATCCCGCTCACCTTTCCCAGACCTGGGCTCTGAGTGCAAACTGAGAAACTATCCTGCTTCATGTACAGTCTCACGTTGTGTTTAAATGATGCATAAACTGATTGTGTGGAAAAAGCAGTGGCTGTCAATCAAACTAAGAAGCGGGACTTAGACACAGGTCCAGAGCATTCCCCAAGATAATTTTCATACGGGTGGTCAGATTGGGCCAGAGACCTTTTGGGGGTGGCACACCACAGTGATCGAGTTTAACGTGTGGTGATGCAGCATGCTCATTTACTCTACTTCAATGAAAAACAATATATTCAATTCAAAAATACTTTATTAATCCCAGAGGCAAATTGATTGCTGTAGTAGCTCCGAATAATAATAATAATAATAATAATAATAATAATAATAATAATAATCAAGTCATCAAAGAGTTATTGTATATTACAATGGCTGCTGGCAGGAAGAATCTCCAGTAGCGGTCAGTGTTGCAGCCAAACTGAAGAAGCCTCTGACTGAAGACACTCTCCGTTGTCGGACAGTCTTGTGAAGAGAATGCTCGGGGTTGTCCATCATTTTCTTGATTCTCTGGAGAATCCTTCTTTGCATGATCTCCTCCAGTGGTTCCACAATCGTCCCCAGAACAGAACCAGCCTTTTTTATTAGGCTGTTGAGCCTTTTCAGGTCCCTGCTTCTGATGCTGCTACCCCAACAGACGATGGCTGAAGAGATTACACTCTCAACAACAGACTTGTAGAAGATCTGCAGCATCTTGCTACAGACATTGAAAGACCTAAGCGTCCTCAAGAAGTGCAGTCTGCTGTGTCCCTTCTTGTAAACGGCTTGGCTGTTCTTTCTCCAGTCCAGTCTGTTGTCCAGGTGAATTCCAAGGTATTTGTATTCCTCAACCTCCTCCACTTTTTCTCCCATGATGGAAACAGTGTTTGACTCCACCGTTTCTTCTGGTATAAAATCATCTCCTTTGTTTTGTTCATG